TTTTTCTTTTTTGGTCTCTTGTACTTGTATCTGTTTCGCTTGTGTTCAAAAAGAGCATATGCATTAAAGGAATTTCATTTTGATGTTAGTGTACTTTGCTTCTGGCAAAATCCGCTGCTAGCCGATGTACGCTGTTATTGCCGCTCACTTCTGCTAGGCGCCGATGTAGACATTGGATATATATAATTAAACATACACATGCATATGTGTATATTTCACATATATATACATACATCAACATATACCTATTTTTACAGGCGCCGCAAATACACTAAACAAGCGTGAAGCAGTCAGCCGACCGACAAAACGCTATGCCAAGATCTAAGAGCGTACGTATCACTACCGGACTAGGTAGGCGACTTTCAGTTTAGTTTAGTACGTCACGTTTTGTGGTCGGTCTACGCGGAAAAACGTAACTTCTCAGTTCGTATCAGAAAGTGCCTACACAGCAACAACTCACACAACAAGAAATATATGTAGCAGCGGTGTTGAATACAAATAAAAGCCAATAATAAAAAAAAGTTTAAACACAAAGTCATAGAAGAAGCAAACAATATTGAGTAGCCTCTGCGAAAAACAGAAAAAGCAACAACAAGTGCGCATTAAAATAACATTGTACTCTAACAAGTAGATACAGCTATACTTTTGTACTTTTAATTATAAGTACGATATACGAGTATGTAAATACATACATATAGGAAAAAACTAAAATTACGTACATATTTGACAAGTGCGAGTGAAAATAGTGCATTTTCATAATAAAATTAAGTTTGCTTGAGTTTACATGAGAGCATAAATTTATACGTTATATACATTTTTATTTTATTTTGTAAAGAATATTGTGCAGTATTGGTGTGCGTGCCTTCGTCACCAGGCCAAAAGAAAACATATGTATAAGCAGACAAATTGTGAAAAAAACTGCAACTCTGTCAAAAAATTAAGATTGCATAAAGGTGTGTTGGTGTGTGTTGTAATTGTGATTTTTCGGCCAAAATTTATTTTTTTTATCATAATTTCGGTTAAGAATTTAATATGTGCTAAGCCGCGTTTTTTGAAATTTTATGTTGGTTCTTAAATGTTTTTTGTTTTTGACGTTCCGTGAACTCACTTCAACAGAGCTCAGGCTAAATATGTATATAAGAAATAATTATTTACATAAATGTATTTTTCATACACATTTGTACGTATGTATGTACATACATACATACATACATATGTATATGTAACCATGTATGAATATCCACATGTGTATATTTCAAAATGTACATACATATGCAAATTCCAAAACGAATAAAAATTACTAGCAGTAGGAAGTGATGTGGTAGTAGATAAGTAAGCAGTCCCAGCACCGACATTAAGCTGAGCGTTAAAGCAGCAGAAGCAACGCCGATGGCGACGGCGTCAGAGCTGCTACAGCAACAGAAACCTCAGCTCGTAGAGAAAATACTAAACGTAGAAGATAATAAAATATTAAAAAAAAATTAGTTAAGTAATTGAATATGACAGTAGTAGTAATTGATAAGCAGGTAATGAAACAAAAAAATTATTTGTAAAAAAAGAGCTGGTACTAGAATTTAAAACTAAAAAAGGCAAAATGAAGAAATTAATTCGTTTTGAAGAAATACGTTTGAGAGATGATAAAATGAAAATAATTTCAATTAATTTCTAAATACTTATGGATACTTGTAAATGCCAATCAAATTTGAAGATATGTAGTTTATATTGCGTCATAAGAAAAATTTCAACGGAGGAATTCCGTTAATGAAGTTTGGCGATCACTGCAACAGCTTTTGATTCTGTCATTTTTTTCGTTTTGAATAAATATGAATAAAAATTGATTCCTAAAAATAAAAAATATTTCTGTGGTAAAAGCTGCATTACACTTACGCCATGACTCAAACAACAGTTTCGTGGACACTGTTGAAAGGGAAGTGAGTGATTTCTTTGGCGACAAAGGCTACAAAACAAAATTAACTGTCAAAAATTGTGTCGAATTCTCAACCCAGCTCTGAAGTGAAAATACAAGACCATTATCATAAATATTCAGATATGTTCATTGTTTTTATGTTTGTACGTATATGGACTTTTTAAAAAGTGGCGATCTGTTTAGCCGACTACCAAAATTTCGTACACCAAATTCGTTTGCGCTTTTGCGCTCTTATTTTACCATAAACTTTAAGATGAGAAAAATCGAGTTTTTTCCAATTATTTTTTTTTTTAGTTTGTAAGTATCTTAAATACATACCCGCGTTATTATCAGTGTTAATGAAACTGATTGTTCACTCACTAGCAAACTAGCTTTTCCTAAGAGGGCCTTCGATGCAAACGAACGTTAGCATCGTGACTTCGTACGGCACCAAGCCGTTGCCGGTTACTGTCCCCCGGACAACGACTGACGTTGCTCCAATACTTCCAATGCCGCATCGCTTGAATATGCTGCCACTGTGCCTTATCACCGTAGTCGTCGCTTGCAATTTTTCTCGTTATGGTTTCTAGTGCAAACAAAAAAAAGAGCTGTTTTCTTACTGTGAGCTAAACGAGGAATTTGTTTGAAGAGACTCCCTCACTCGTTATAAAAATCAGCAGAGTTCTGTACGATTGTGGGTGTGAGAGAGTGAGTGTGCGCACACAAAAAGCGTTGGGTAGAAAACAAAATTTTTGTTTCATTTGTTGATCAGTCACTATAAGCGTGTGTTTACCATTTTAAAATAAATTATTGATATTTTTCACATTTACAAATATGCTTATGCATATTTACGTCTGTATGTACTAATTTTCATATTCAAAGCATAGTTATATACATACATACATATATAGAATTCCCTAATGCCAAACCACTATTTTCTTACCTTAAACACATCTTTCATATTTTATAATAATATTTTATGATAATACTGCTTGCATTTGCTCGCTAATCCAGTTCACATTTCACAACGCATTTTTAAATATAAGCATATGAACCTTAGTTAGGTACATAAACACGCACTTTGGGGGCCATCGTTTAGTATGTACATATCTCGCATTTCCCGAAATCTTTTAAGCCAGTGTGCAACAGTTTGTAGCATACTTATTTGCCTAGGCATTAAGTTGTCTATGCAAAAACATCATCGTCACCCGTTCTACAACTACATACTTCATTAACTCTACTTCGACACTGTCGAAGTGTATATCATAAGTATATACATAAATGTGTACCTAGACCCTGTCTGTCTATCTACCTGTCTAGCCGCACCTACTGAACTTACTGTAAATTTCTGTCACTAACGCTATAACAAAATTCACCACCAACTAGTCGTTGACCTACTTTTTTATTTACAAATATTGCCATGTCGTTTTGCTAATGGTGTCATATAGTGCTGTTGCATTTAGATGGAATAAGTAGATATGTATGTATGTATGTTATAAGAAGTGGCGGTAACTGAGAGTACAATTAGACGAATTTCTGGATGTATGTTTGCAACATGCATACATATGAATGTATGTGAATATGTACATATATATGTAGTATAAAAGCATGAAACCGACAATAACTCGCGTTTCATATGTTCATTTGTATTTTTATATCTATGTGCATGCATACATACAAAAGCAATAAAAATATAATAACATAAAGGGTATTCGTTTAACCATGAAAACTTACGAGATCAATGACTCATACAGCAAATGCCGCATAGCTAAATTTAAAATAAAATCGTGCACATAAAATCGGCCGATTTTTCACATATGAATACATAGCTCTAGCGCTTCTGCCTTTATCAATCAATTCTGCTAAAGGAAAAGAACAAAAATCTTGGAGACATCGCCGATAACTAGTCACGCTTGTATACACTTGAAAAATTTTTTTTTTCGGTGTATATGCCATTCATTCGCAAATTTTCACATTGGAAGAAAAATCGAGTCAATGATTTGATCTTTTCTATTGCTTTCTTTGCAGCTTGCGTTCTTTTTCTTCGCACGTACACACGCAGTATCAGTACACGCAGGTATAAGAAAGTAGTTGCCTTTCAGAAGGAATGTCAAAATAGTAAAAGCTTCATATAGGTGTGCACTTTTAAAAACCCACCAAATCTTTATTTAAGTTTTAAGGCTTAGACGTTACGTATATAATTGACCCCAGCTATGGTTCAGTTGCAAGATTTCTTTAGTCTTAGCATAGTCTCGACAATGCCGTTGCACCACTGCTTTTGGAGTTACTCATACGCTCAATCTAAAAAAAAAATCGCAATAAACTGCGTTCATTGACTCATTCTACAATAGTATAAGAATATGCAAAAATATAATACAGAATATATAAGATATACCAGTAAATAAAAGTGGTATAAAAAAATAAAACAGATAAGAATAGGAAAACATTATTGTATATTTATACACATGTACATATGTGTGTATGCATATGTTTTATGTATGTATGCGCTTATGTAACCAATTTATTTACATTTATTTATTACTTAAGACTTTTAATGACCATGCTTATAACACGAAAATTGCATGAAAAGAAAATCACCGGTACTTTCATTTCGCGTCGTTTTCAGTAGATGTCATTTGTTTTAACGTGAACAACAATTTGTTTGATTCATTTGAAAATGTCGAGATCTGTACCAGATAAAGTGTTTTTGCGGGGAGTTCTTCTTCATTACTTTAATATGAAGAAAAGTGCTACCGAAAGCCATCGTATTTTAAAGGACTTTTATGGTGAACATGCTTTAGCCGAACGAACGTGCCAAAAAAACAGACGGACAGCCAAAAAAAATTTCAAGACGAAGAATTGGAGATATTGCTCGACACAGGTGCATGCCAGACGCAAGAAGAACTTGCAAAAGTATTAAGAGTTGAACAAGCAACCGTTTCCAGACGATTAAAATCATTTTTTCACAATAAAGTCTTAATTTTCGAAAAAAAAACCGCTTGAATTAATGCATACACCCAATAATATATTTTTTAATTATTTAACATATTCAAATACAAATTTTTATTAGTTACTTTTGTTCGCAAAGAAACCGTTTATTTGACGAAAGAGAAGTTGAAATTTAATTCAAATAATTTGTAAAAAATTCAGTGCTTGTAAGAAAGTTCTCAATAAAAGAATAGAAATTTTAAACTTATAAAAGAATACTTGGAACACATTCAAATTATTATATGTTAAAACTGCTAAATCGCCAAGGGAATAATATACAAATTTCGACCTAACACATTAAAAAGTTATCGTTCAAAAATTACAACAAAAGCAGAATTACAAAATGGCTTTTTATCATCATAGGTGAGTAATAAAATTTTAATATAAGCACATCCTACCATTTATAAAATGAACTATTATAAATAAATAGAATATAGAGCTTAATGAAACGTGTTGTAAGTGGTGGGATTTATGTATTTCGTTTAATTCTCTACACTCAAAACACATTGGGATATTGAAAATATTAATTTTCAGTCTTAACATTTGATATTTTCAACATCGCCAATATATGTACTTATGTACATCCACACAATGCGCCATCTACCGCCCAAAACTGCTGAAAGAAAAAATACGAGTAAATGACAAAAATAAACAAGCAGTGGCATTTTGCAGTTTAAATACATACATATGTACATATGTATGTAGATGGGGCGAACGGGTAAACAAGCTGCAAGTATGCAATTTGTATGCGTAGAATCCGAGCACCCGACGACCCGAGTGCCAGCGCATTGCCCTGACATGCGCATTTTCCATCTACATTTGCTGTTACTTGGGACTTTTGTCGAGGCGTTTGTTTGTATTGTTGCATTTTTTCATTCCTGTAAATTTTTATGAATGAAAAGTTTCTTAACAACAACAAAGACCCATCGAGCGAATGAATAGCCGACCGGCTACGCACTAAATCAGCAGCAACAACAGCACTAACAAAAACAAGAGAATAAAACGAAATAGCAACATCATGCTGCAGTTGTTGTTGCTATTGTTGTAGTTATTGTTGGACTTGCCGCAAGAGTGCCATTTCCTCCAAACTCGCTAGCAAATCTGTCTGCCTGAATAAACTACAATTTACTCTCAATGCCTCTCTTTTTACATTGCATACACACTTGCTCTCTGCTCATACATACATAACTTTGTTTGTACTCATGCACTTAAATTCCAATGCATTTACTCTTTACTATTTACATTCTTTTACTGCATGGGCTGATCCTCACTTAACACTCACACCTATTGTGAGTAGTGCCGCTTCTGCCGCCGCTGAAGCTGCCAGTCAATCAGACAGGTTGCCAGCCAGCATTCTTTCGCGTCTTGGCTTCCACGTTTGCTCACTCGCTCTTTTGTCCAAACCATGCATGCATATATGAAGTTATGTTGTGTTCCGCGCTGTATGTCGGTGGTGTTTGCTTTTCAACATGTATCCATGTGTGTATAGCTGTGGCTTGAACTATAAATATGACCACAGAATGTTTGTTTGCTGATACGTATGTGTTTGTATCAGTTTGTGTTTTTGTTGTTATTTCATTGCAAATTTTGCCGTTAAAATACATTCCGCTAGCAAAGCAGCTGCGCAATTTCGCGAATCATACGTTGACGCTGGCCACGATATTGACTGCGATTGTAAGTGCCGTTATGTACTTTTAACACACATACCTTACATGTGTGCGCCTATGTGTGTTATTATTATTTTGTTGTGTGTTTACAATGTTGGAAGTCGTTTGGGGAGAAGGAACCAAAGAAAAAATTGTCTTTTTTCAATTTAAGCTTTGAAAAGTTTCGGTATGTTAAAAAAGCATAAGAACAATATTTTAATAAGACTCTGATTGTCTGGGGCAGTAATGGTTAATGTTAGTATTCAATGCTTTTTCCATATTTATTTACATTTTAATGCACTCTATGAAAACCAAATATAAAATGATAGCTTGTACCATATGTTCAAACTACTAGGTACATATGTATGTAAATATCATATGCGTTTTTTTTTTGCCATTTTTAAACACCAACTACGCCACTATTGTTGTTTTTGACTGCAATTGTGCACAACCGCTATAATGGCCTCTTTAAAAGCCAAAGCAATGGATGCCTAATTGCACTAGCAAATATGCAGATAAATAAACAAGCAGAAACACTATATACGGCCAATATTCAACGCACACGCGACATAGCCACCACCATCTTGCATAGCTCGTGCGCACTTGCTTGTGTTGGGCTCTCATACCCTGTTGTCATGTAAATCACAGTGCATGTACAAGTTTTGTCCAATGAACTGCGTCGAGTAAAACATGCCTACCTGTTCGGGCATACTCCAGCTTGTGTTCATGACAACTACCTGAAATATCTTACACCAAATATTTTGCCCATGAGTGTACATATGTATATGTATAACTGGCGCTTATAACGACAAATATAATCATGGAAAATTTAAATATAAGAATACATTAGAAAACAGAGGAATAGAGTTTAACTTAATATTAGTTAGCGAGTAGCGTACGAAATTTGTGGCTGCCCGATTAACTATCTAACAATACCTGAAAAATTGCCGTACCTTTGACAGTCTGACTTCTAACATAAACAACTTCCAGAATGGCTCAACTTATCTTTTTGCTTTTGTTGTATTTTCTTCTTTTTTTTCTTTGTATGCATTGTTACATATAGTACATACATGTATGTATATGTACATCAAAACAATAAAACCAAATATCTTGGAATACATTTCGAAAGAAGGCTCACTTAGAGAACACATAAATTTATAAAATGTAAAAATGTATGATAAAGGTTTTTCTTTATGAAATGTTCAGGGTTGGTCGTATTAGGTCTACAATTACCAAAAATATAAATCTTATCGCGCGCAAATTTATTGTTTAAAAGTTATTAACATTGAAAGTTTCAATTTTAATATGGAAAGGGTCTGTTTGTGTTTTGAAAATAAAAGAGTTTTTCTTAAAAAAAATGAGTAAAGTGAAGCCGGTGTTGGTCCGGCCCAGGATTATATATCTAAAGCGCCTCCAATTTTCACTTTAGTTTCACTTAAGAATACTGAGTAAGGCGAAGCTTTTATGTACATTGATTATCTGTCATTAGTAGGAGATATGGAGTATTAGGGTGCATATTTTCTTTGTCAGTTTGAATTTTAGCCTCTCGTTAACGGTTGAGACATTTTAAACGAAACCTTAAAGCTCTTTCACAAGTCTCCCCTTTCACAAACTCTCAATATATTCATGTATTTGATGCAAACGAAAAAGCACAGAATTAATATTAAACACTTCTTGGAATCTTTTTTGAAGACTGCATATGTATGTATGTACATATACTTACAAATGAACATGTACACATGAACTCTTATAATAAAAAATTATTTAAGCTTCGCCAAATTGTTGACTCATCAATGACGCCTACTTAAAAAGAAACGAAACCTATGTTTGTATGTGCATGCATAAATACCCTGTAGGGAAAATATTGTACTAGCTATTAACTTCATTCCAACTAGTTTAAATTTTTACGCTATTTAGATCATCGTTGCTATTTTGCGCAATCAGCTGATAGCAGCCAGAGACACGTATATTTTTATGTTGAGTGGATCGTTTGATATTTCACAATTGCTTTTCGTTTGTTTCTTATAGTTTTATTTGAAGGCGGAGAAGCATTCTCTTCGCCAATTACTTAATATATGCATTTATGTTAAAAGTAATGCAAAAAAGTAATATTTACATAAACAATTTCCCATGCAAAATAAAAGTCTCGCTCCTCATTAAATCCGAAAATAAACGACTCTGACAAGGAGCACCCCGAAACTTCCGAAATGATTACATTAGTAGTGACAGCATCGAATGTTGACATACAATTTTCTGTTAAATTGCCGAAAGTGAGTTAACTCACTTTGTAAAATGAGTTAACTCACTTTTATACAACAACAAACACATGGGAATTACCGCATTTAAATGCGATGTTTAAATGCATTTAAGCTAAAACGCATTTAACGTCCGGTGGAAATAGGCTATAACAATGAGCCGCTTGAAAAGTATAATAGGTGTACTAGGTTGGTTCTGGTAACGGTTGCCTGTAATATTAAAGTAATAACACTAGATAAATATATATACATATATAATATATATATATATATATATATATATATATATGGGCAGATACAAGAAAATATCTGAGTGAAATTTAGTGCATATATTCCATAAGGCAGAATTTGTATACTTCTGCACATATGCAAAAGTAAATGTGAATAAAATTTACTAGTGAAAAAATTAAGAACAAAATTTGAAGGTGGGCAGGGTGTCGCTCACTTTTGAATCAAAATTTCTCGTACAACTTCACCGAATTCAATAAAACTCAATGCACATTTTATCAATTGGTATACTTTGATATTGGTCCATAAAAACCCATCAATTGCGTAAGAGATCTATGAACTTACCATATAATAGTTAATGATTTGCCCTTTAAATGTCGATCTGACTTGATTAATAGCTTAAAAGAAATCCAAAAGCCAGCCAAAAATGACTCATAATGAAAGGAAAAATACGAGGCATAGCTACGCTACAAACATATTAGTAATTCTTAATTAATTAATTTTACTCAGTAACTGTATCCTCATCCGCACCTAGGTCCCAACCAAACTTAATCCTCCTTACATGTCTTCATTTCATCATTTTTAATTTTTCACTTCTACCCCATAGTTTTGCTGCTGTTATGAAATTTGTGCTGATGATAAAGACACGCTGTAGTTGTTTCACATACATACAAACATATGTATAGACCAAATAAAAGAAATGAGAAGAAAATCGACACGGTAATGCAAATACTGCAACAGTAACCAAAAAATATCCCATTTTTTTTATAAACAATTCTTGGAAAACGGCGCGAGCATCAGCAAAAAAGAATGATTTGGAGTCGACGTGTGGCATAGAGTCATTGCGCATTCGTCTACACAGGCATTGACTTGACTGACTTTTTATTATTCTTTTTATACGCATGCACATACATACATGCATATGTATGCTTATGTGTATACAACACAACTTTTGTTGTTCACGTTTTTTATTTTTATTTATTCTTTTTGGCGCAACTTGAAAGTGCAAACATAATAACAAAAGTCGCAAAAAATCATGCTGTTCGGTTGGATTCAACCAAGTCAGTGCGCGACAGGTTCAACATACTCGTTGCTGCCGAGACACGAGCACGGCCGACTAATAATTACATTTTGTGGTGTTGTCGTGCCGCAATCGCGGCCAAAACAAACACATCTTGCTAAAACGAAATAAAAACAATAAAAAGAGTTTGGGCATGTAAATAATTACTGCACCATTATTAAGAAGAAGAAAGAAAGCTCTATGTAGAGAGTATTGTATGTAGAATGGTAATGGAGTATGTGCACATATAGAACAGCGGAAATTTGGAAGAGGTAAAATTTTATTCAATTTAGATAGCTTCCATTAGTTTTATTTTCCTTTTTGTTATATGAACAGTGTTTTGTTCTGAGGGAGACCAGGTAATGCACACAAAAACTTAAAACATGCCAATGAATTGGCTGTAGACTCGGGCTCGACTAAACTTGCCCGCGGGTAGGCTCCCAGACAGGGATGACTTTCTCAAGTACCTTATACTTTGTGCGCATGCAGACGAAAATTTCCCTTACCTTCCTGCATAAGGAATATATGCCCACGTATTGCTAAAATGTTAGAGGTCAAGAATTAACTCTGAAGCATAAACTCATTTGATCTTATCTCACTAAAATGATAGTGATCGCCTCGATCAAGTTCCCTTCGAAAGTGCAATCAAGCTATAGGACCTAACTACTTTCGATTTCACTGCCAACACTGGCAGATAGTTTCACGTCACCAGGTGCCCCCAATATGAGTGAATACAAATGACAACCAACTACGACATGAATGTGTTGCCAAGAGTGCAACGAAAACAAGAACAAATGCGAATAAGAATTAGACAGCGAGTTAAAAAATGTTGATTGCTTCCCATGGTTTGGCCGGGTAGCCGACTAGGTTCGTGTCCGCTGTAGAAGTATTCAGTGGAATGTGGATTCCGGACTGCGATCGATTGCGTCGTACTGTGCTGTGGCAGTGGACAACACATTCTTATGGCAAATATTTTGTTTTTTGTTTTTGATATTATATTATGGCAAAATATAACTGAATTCAAGGCGCATACGCGTACATTTCATACACTCACTTCTACGCAAAGACGAAGCAAGCGCCTTTGCTATATAACTGGCGCTTTGTAACCGCTGAAGCGATTTTTGGCCGACCTTTGCTATTACGCGAAATACATCTTCGTCGCTTAGGAATTTGAACCGGTTACTTAATGGCTAACTGACTAACTGGACGATGTCTAATAGTTATTCAGAAAGGCAAGGAAAGTTGTTGTTGAATGTGAAGAGAAGAGAGAGGAGAGGAGGAAGAAAGATCGAGTTGGCGGATTAGCCGACCGGTACTAACTTGTATGTGAATAAAAACAACAACAACAACAAGAACAACAACACAAATTGAATGGCATTGATACAACCAGACAGTATTCTCAGACTGGAAATCAACCAGAGAAAAAAAGCAAAAATAAAAATTTCCTATGTACTCTGCAAAAGAGCAGCACAAATCGGTATGTGAATGTGTATGTATGCAGCATGTGGCAAGAAAAGTATGCAGCAAGCAAACATTTAAGCCAAAACCCGTAATACAGCAGCAACTACCACAGTAAATGATGTGAATGGACGCAGCCGCGACAGCGTTGGCAGTGAAAACAAAGTAAACAAAAAACATACATACATAAATAGGCAAAGAGAAAAGAAAAGAAAATTTAAAACAGAAACAGAGAATGCAAACACTATAAAATTCCAAATTGAACTTTTAAAGCTTTTCCATGGAATTTTTGCGCAGACGCACAGAAAGCAAACACATACTGATATTTATATGTAAGTAAAAATGAAACAAGATAAGTAGGGAAGGGCTGAGTTCGGGTGCAACCAAACATGTTTCAAGTGCGTGATAGAAGCTCAAATATATTTTTTAATATGCATTCTGTGTTGAAAGCACGGAGGTATCTAGAGGAAAAAGGAGAGAATAGAAATATTTCAAATACTCTCATCGGGTAATCATTTTTAATCATACGAATTGTTGGAATCCAACTTATATAATCATAAATAAAGTTATAAGATTTCCTTAAAAGTGGGCGGCCCCACATCCAAAATTTTCCAAAATTTTTGACAGACAAGTGCTTTTTATGTAATACCTGATTCGCGGGTAGGGCTTCTGAGCTTCAAATATGGTTACATACAGGTGTATGTACATATGTATATGCATTAAAAAGTAAAGTCCTTCGTCGACAAAAAAACGATTAAAGTTGTAAATCATTCCCTTCTTAAAGTACAGAAGTATGGAAGATTGCAACGTTAGATTCTTTAGGAGTTTTCCAAAAGATTTTTTTTTTCATAAGATTTATGGTACTGACAAATATTCAAGACATATAGCTCGTCTCTTTCTGTATAAAAAAATAACATTAGCTCAACGATATATGCAATAATCCAATTTTTATCGTACACTCGCACTCATAAGGAATAAAAACGATCGCTCAATGTTTTGAACAGCTTTTTCTGTAAAATTCTACAAAACCAGAAACACATACATACATAAATATTTTAAAATTTTTATTAGTTTCAAAATAGAAAATAATTTCAGTTTTCAGTCAACAATTTTAAAAATTTCCTGTAGAATTGTATATATAATATTATGCTGTGCGGATTTTGCAATAATTTAATTTCCTCGTTTCGCCTTTGTCACACATTTCGTTCACACATTTTCGTTAGTTTAATAAAATTTTAATGGTGTTTGATAAAATCAAAAGGTTAAAAAAGTGCAGTGAAAAGAGTTAAATAAGTTCAAATTTCGCTACACCATTAGTCAATAGGATTATATCCTTGCAAAGCAGCTGAGACGCAGTTTGATTGAATACTTTTTGTATGTAATTTCTGATATGTGTGCCTATTCAAGTTATTATGCATGTATAGAGGGAATTTGTAAAGAGTGCTAGTGGAACATAAATTTTTTTTTATTTTACTACTAATCAAAGAATAAGCCCGGAACAAATCAAAATAATTCAAAATACCTTGTTAATATATTTAAATTTTGTTAATCTGGACACGATTATGTTAAGGTATATGTTTATGATGTGTAAAGTTTATTTTAATGTAAAGCGTAGAAGTAACACTTTAAATTCCATATTATATACATAGTTAGTTGTTTTCAAAGCTTTGTTACTCGAAAATGTGCTTTTCATATACTCAATTAAGAATTTTGAACTATTTTGTAGTTTTCGCTTTAATATGTTTCAATTAGATATAAATATGCTATTTATGTACATGTAGGAGAAATTTTTCAAAGTCAACTTTTCGACGCATTTTCGCAAACTAAAATAATATTATTTTTTTCATATGAACTTCTTTTACAGTGTATTATGCTACAGTCACAGGCTCCTCCTTCAATATGCATTTCGTATTATAATTCTTTTTAATTAGATACATACCGACATACATGAATGCATACATATGTACATATTTAGTATACTGTTTCGCTTTACCTCTTTCCATTTAAATTATTTTGTTTGTTGTCTTGCTGATTTTTTGCATTGCCTTGATCTTGTTGCTGTTGTTGTTCACTACTTCAACTTTATCTCTTTTTGTTTTCTGTTTTATTTTTTGTTCACAGCATTTCAACATCGAAAATTCTTATTAGCGGCATACCGCTGCAAACTCGGTTTGAAGACATCGAACCTCTATTGAAGCCATACGGCATCGTCAAACAGTGTGAGGCTGTCTCTAGTAAGGACCCAAATACTCAGACTGTACATATAACATTTGAAAATCCCGATCAGGCTCAAAGGTATTACACAATGTATTTTTTTATTTTTCTCAATTATATAGTCTTTTTTGTTTTCATTTCCCCCTTTGATTTTTTTTTCTAATTTTCTGCTTTTTTTAATATAAATTTATTACTTCTTTTTACGTTTAAACAAAATTCCTGCTTAATTTTATGTTTTAAATGTAATACGAGTGTTGATGCGGTAGTTTGAATGTTACAGTCAACATTTATAAAATACAATAGTAGAGTACTCGGAAACTCTAGAAGCCGATCTTCAGAACTTTTGTGATTTCTGAGCTTTGGAACTATAATTGCAGATCTTTTTTGATAATTTCAAATATCTAATAAATTACAAAGTAAGCGAAAATATAGAATTTCAGTTATACTCTCAGCATTTTAGAATAGAAATCTTCGTATCCCGGAGCAATACTCACGGTACTCGAACCTCTGAACTTTGATTTATGAAATCTCACTTCAATATTTTAAAAAATTTATGTCGGTAGTCGGGAGCTGTGATCGTTCAGTACACGCTCGCTGATCAAGGCACTCGGATCTGAGCGCACAGGATCTTTAATCACAGTTGTCACTGCACTCACAGCCGAGTGTCGTGGTTTCTTGTAATGATGATGTTTTAAATAGAGGCTTCAAAAGCCTTAAATTTCAACTTATATTTATGTGCATCACTTATTCAAGCTAAACTAACCCTACGAGAGAACTCCAAAGTCACAAAATCAATACCAAATGAGTATAATTAATTTTTCTCTTTTCCACTTCTAGAGCTGCTGGCGGATTAAACGGTGTCGAATACGAAGGTAATAAATTGCACGCCGAACCATTGGATAAGAATCAACGTCGTACCAATCGAAATCAGCGCAATCCATATCCCGGTATGCCAGGTCCTGGACGCCAAGCTGACTTTCCTCTACGCATTCTTGTGCTAAGCGAAATGGTAGGCGCTATTATCGGCCGCCAAGGCGGTACTATACGTGCTATAACGCAACAGAGTCATGCACGTGTCGATGTGCATCGAAAGGAGAATGTCGGTTCACTAGAGAAGGCGATAACGATTTATGGGAATCCTGAGAACTGTACGAATGCATGCAAACGTATTTTGGATGTAATGCAACAGGAAGCCAATGCAACAAATAAGGGGTGAGTTATTGTGAGGGACTAGGTAGGCTCGATATGGGTTGTTATATGATCTACAAACTAACCGAGACTTTAATTGGTCTGATGCCCCCGGCCGAAAATCACTGTAACGATTGCAAAGAGCCACATATATTTATAATATAGGAATATGTATATACAGCTGTTGACAGCTAATTAGAAACGATGCTTATCTTAAATTAAAAGATCTTTTTCCCCATTAAAGCACGCATTTTCATAATTTGTTTCCTAATTTTATTTAAACAAATACAAAATTTAAAATGATATTCTAAGCAGTTTATTCAAAATTTATTTTTTAGAAATCCATGAATTGAATCCGACATCTAATTAGAAACGAAAATATTTTATCAGAAAAAAATATTGATATTAAGATGATATGTTGACTTTTAGTTAGTATTTGGTTGCATAACTCTTCTGCTTACTTTCTTAAACAGGGCATCCATTTTTAGGATATCTTTAACACTAATGACACTCTAAACGTAACCCCAGAGAGTTCAAGTCTGTACTGGATGATGGCCATTCTATATAACATTGATGAAATTTTTGACAAAAAAATTTTTCGTCTATTTTGCGGTGTGATTTGGATCATTATCCTGTTGAAATTTCTATATAACAGGCAAATTCTCCTCAGCCCAAGGCAACATGACATTTTCCACTTGACGTATTTCTCCTGATTTAAAATTCTATTTATCCTATAGAGTGGACCAACACCATTCCAGGAAAAGCCTTCCCAAACCATAATTGATGCTCCACTATGCTTCACTCCGCGTGAAACATAGCGAGGATTAAATTCTTGGTTAACGGGCCGTCGAACATACCTCCGACCATCAGGAATAATGCGATTATTTTTGTTTCATAGCTCCAAATGATATACTTCCACAGGTTTTGGGTCCAAAACAAAGGAGAAATGGGCAAAGTCTACACGTCGCTTCATTTGGATTTTGGTCAGGAGCAGTTTCTTGCGTACTGCTCTTCCATAAAGTCCAGAATGGACAAGGCGCTGTGGACTCATTCTCTTCGATATTTGAACAGTGAATTCATACCGAATTGCTGAGGAACTTTTTTTTTTGGGTCTCTTCGCGAAATCACAAGTTATAATAGTACTTGAAATGCACAACTACAAATCTAGGGTAAATATGTAGTAAATAGAGTAACAAAAAAAAATGCAATTGTTGTTTTGAAGAAAATATAACGGTGAATTTGCATATTTTACTATTATACCTAACAGGCACTTACAAGAAGAGAGCGTTTCTAATTAGTTGTCAACAGCTGCATATGTACATGGTATAACTTAAATTTCTGAACCGATATGTCATGTGTAGTTTTTTCAGCACCCATATTAGTTTTGTAATTTCTATCTTTCTCTCTCTCTCTCTTTCTTTTCCTCCATCTCTCAAAAATGCCAACAAAGGGACATCTGCTTGAAGATTTTGGCCCATAACAATCTTATTGGTCGCATTATTGGAAAAAATGGCAACACTATTAAACGGATTATGCAAGACACCGAAACAAAAATTACTGTGAGTTCCATTAATGATATAAGTAGCTTCAATTTGGAGCGTATAATTACGGTTAAAGGCCAAATTGAAAACATGGCACGTGCTGAATCGCAAATCAGCTCTAAGCTCCGCCAAAGCTATGAGAACGATTTACAAGCCATGGCACCACAAAGCCTAATGTTCCCCGGTCTCCATCCGATGGCCATGATGTCAACACCCGGTAATGGCATGGTATTCAATCCCAGCATGCCGTACCAGTCTTGTCCAGGATTTCCAATGACAAAGACACCAACCAATGTGGTACCGCCTGTTTTTCCTAACGACATGCAAGAGACCACATATCTCTACATACCGAATAATGCGGTTGGAGCCATTATCGGCACCAAAGGTTCACACATACGCAGTATAATGCGTTTTTCGAATGCCTCGCTTAAAATTGCGCCTATCGAAAATGACAAGCCGACCGAACATCAAGCCGAACGTAAAGTGACAATTGTCGGATCACCGGAGGGTCAATGGAAGGCGCAGTATATGATTTTTGAGAAGATGCGTGAGGAAGGTTTCATGTGCGGCTCTGAGGATGTGCGATTAACGGTCGAAATTATGGTAGCCAGTTCACAGGTAAGTTTAAAAAACATGGAATCGCACCTCATGAACACTAAATGTCGGCATTTTAAACGCAGGTGGGCCGAATAATCGGCAAGGGCGGTCAGAATGTGCGCGATTTGCAACGCGTTACCGGCAGTATTATCAAACTGCCTGAGCATGCGGTAGCACCAGCATCGGGTGGTGATGAAGAGACGCCCGTTCATATAGTTGGGCAATTTTATAGCGTGCAGGTAAGAAAAGTAGTCATACTTTAAACTAAATAACTTTGTCCGTTCTTTTTTTCTTCCATTATAACTAATTTACCTAACTACCTTTGTTTTGGTCTTTAGTCGGCTCAGCGTCGCATACGTGCCATGATGATGTCGACAAACCCACCACCGGTTACCAAAAAGCAAAAGGCTGCTAAAGAACAATCTGCCGCCGCCGCTGCAGCAGCAGCTGCCTCTGCAGGTAGTGGGACCCAACAAATGCAGCAACAACAGCAACTACAACCGCAGCAACAGGCACAACAGCAGCAACAACAGTCGCCGCCGCAACAACAGCCGTCTGCGTCAAGTCAGTAAGCAAAGAAAAATCCCGAAAAAAAAACATACAAATGCGTTTCAAACGTCTTGTTGAAGCCTTTTTATTAATACATTAATTTTTATTATTTTTTTTTATTAAATTTAATCGAGAATGTGTGAGATGTATATTTAGGTTTTCTAATATACTATTTAAATCATTTTTTTAATATTTTATTAAACAACAATTTTGATGTTGGGCGTTAATAATTATTGATGATTGATAACTATGATGAGAAAAGGGCGAAAATAATAAAATGTGTATCGATCGCAGTGAAAGAGAGATTTCGAACCAGTTTTAACTAGAAGCGGCAAAAATCATTCAAAAATGTGTAACCAAGATACAACACAAAACCCGCAAACTATAAAAGTAAATAGATATCAAGTACAATAGTAAAACGTTAAATAAATGAAAACAATAAAAAAGCATTTAAATAATTGTGAATGAATTAAAAATTATTCAAAACCACCAAATTCACTATTATTGAGTAACATTAACGGAAATACAATTAAAAAATAACAATAACGCATTTGCTCCCTTTTTATAGTAATTCAAATGCAAAATATGAAAAACGCAGTAAAACAGTAAGGAATCATAACACTATAAACAAATTGACTATTCGCATATAGTCTGAAAACGGGTGTGTAAACAATTTTAAGAAAATATGAATAAAACATAAACTGAAGTTATTAAAAATAATAAGGATTTTCAAATCAAAAATGTATTAAAACCATTAATTGCCATCAAATAAAAACAGCTTGCAACCCACCAAATATTAATTGCAACAACAACACTAACTAAGAATACGTCAAGATTTGCTTATAAAATTATACAGAAAAACTTGTAACAATATTAAATTTTGATATAAAAAAAACGTAAAATAATCTGTAGCACAAAATAAAATCAAACGGCACTAAATAGTTCACACTTTGAAATGCAGTAAATTTCTAATGCAACATAACTATAATATAATATATACGGTTTCAAAACTACATCAAAAATATATATCTTATAACAAATAAGAATAGATTTGCAAATGTTCAAAATTAAAAATAAGAATTAACAGAAACAAGGAACCGAAACCGAAGAAAAGGAAAAAAGATAATAAGGTATAAAGAATTCGTATTGAAAAATGCATAGAACAAATTAAGTTCACGTACGCAAATGATTGTTAAAAAAATATTTAAAACATGTAGCTGCAAATAAAGGAAATAAAACACCTGTGTAAAAAAATTTAGTGTCAAGGTAACTTGTGCCATTTGTATTAAAATTAAAAGAAAAATAAATTAAAATTTTTATTCAGTGGCCCTATGAAATTTCCCTGTCTGATTCGTTCAAACGTTTAAAACCTTTCAAATAACAATGATTTTTTTTTTAACAAAAAACTAAGAAAATTTTTATGTATTTCACCTCTGTTACATGCTTTACAATCGAACCTTATTTCCTTATTGGAAGACTTCAACTTAAATCCGTCATCATTTTGAGTACAGTGTAGAAAAACAACAAACAATGAGAACATAAAACTTGTTCCTAGTAAAGTAAAAAATTCTATAACTTGTATCCAAACTATTACAACTATATGATTAAGTATTCATTTCGGTAACTGAGCCAAAATTAGCTACGTGAACAACTAGTTCCATAAGTAAACAAAAAGTTTCTAAATATAAATTTTTTTACATGTAGTAGAAATGTTAATTTTGTTTGCCTTGAAACGGTGCTGAAATGTTTTAATTCATAAAGAACGATATATCAAATGTGTTACACTATAATAGTAAAAGTATATTATTACTTTTTTTAAATTAACACACTTACATACATTTTTCTGTTACTAATGCAATCAACCATTACAATACAATAAATATACCACGCTAATTGCTTACCCATATTAAACTATAAACTTTAAAGAACATGTAATAAATATAATAAATAATTTTACGTACATATACTACATAATTTGTAAATCATTATTTAAGAATTATTTTAATTTTGTTAAATGTTGAATATTTTTCCATCATTGCCTTATGCATTTTTTATATATTTAAAAACAAATAATTAATAGTATATGTAATCGTATATAGAGAAAAAGAAATGTAAAGAATATACACTATAGAAAATGTAAGCAATTAGTTGTTGAAAGATGAAACATAGTTAAAGAAAGCAATCACATTACACTAAGTATATTTATTAACGAGCAGCAAACAATCAAACAACAAAGCCAAGCAAACTAAACAATCAATAAACAAAAGCAAACGTGCATGCCAACAAACCAATAGTGAATAAAAATTTAAATTTAAACAAATCCTGATTTTTTAACAGAAACAAAAATACGAAGTACTGGTTTTTGATTAATATAATATGAAATGATTTTTGCTACTGATATGTATGTACATACATAGTTATGTATATGCATAAAAATCAGTACTTACAAAGCAAACAAAAAACAGCAATTATATGAAGTGATTCGACTATTAAACTGTCGACAATAGCCCAATATTTTTGCAAATACAAACTACATACATATACCTAAAAATAGTCTTTTAACTACCTAAATAGCCAAGCTGAACTTTTTTGTTTTTTATACTTTTCTATATAATTATAAAGCAATACAATAAGTATAAATATTTACATGCATATATTCCTAAATAATTTTATAAGAAATTTTGTATGATTTAAAAGCATCCAACAAATATTTATATACCTACATAGCAGAAACCTTAGACACTCATAAAAAACCATAGAATACTTACTTACTTACTTATATATATAAAACACCATAGAATAATTCATTAAAAATTAATGTTGAAATAGAAATTTATTTACAAAATATACAACATACTTAAGTAAATATATTGTTCAATTTGCATATTATGAGAAAATTTTTCCAAATTGCAATTTCTGTTGCTTCAATCGATTTCTATTTCAAATATTTGCAGAAAAGCATAATAACTCATGATGAATATTCAACTACAGTTGCATGATAACTACATCAGCTAATGGAAAAAATTTTTTTAAAGACCAACTAGTTTCCTATTTTTCGCTATCCAAAAAGTTTAAATTTCAATACACACATAAAATTTTAATTTTGATTTCTCAGAGCAAGCAAAGCAAGATGAAAAAGCTATGAAATGCGAATAAAATTATTATTTAGCTTTAAAAAAAGAGTTCATGAAAACTTTATTTGTAGAAAAATCAAGAAAATACTTTAATTGTAAAAATTTTGTAAAATTTCCTCATGTTAAATTTTACGTTTTTATTTATGGCAACATATTTTTTTAATAATAATACATACCTACATGTGTCATTTCGGCTCTACAAATTATTCGAAATTTTTAAATATAAAATTTATGGCGATGACTAGATGGCGTTTGGGAGAATAATAATGAAAATAAGCACATTAATATTTGTTTTAAAATGAAATATAGTTTTTTGGTCAATAAACTCTGAGATAATAACGTTTAAAAATAAACATTTTTCAAATCGGTCCACCGTTAAAATCTCGCTAGATTTCGTTTGACCTTGCTGAGGAATGTACATTTTTGAAATGTCTCTTTCTCGCTTATGAAATAAAATTTTATTTATATATCTCATTTCTATAAAAAGTCTATATGAAAAACTCAAAATTACCGAAACAAAAAAATAAAACTAAAATAAGAATATCTCAATGTAACCCCAATTGAACATTATTCGTTCATTAAAAATTATTTTCATGATCACTTTTTTTATATAAAAATGTAAGCAAAGTAAAAATAGGTTAAAGGAAAAGCGGCATCGAATATTCAAAGATGCTATAAAAGTGTTGTCATTAAAGCAAATGATGTTAAATTTGAATGGAAACTGAAGAATAACGATGTTCGAATGAAATAATTACCTCAATATAAGTGCATTATCTTCTTATTATAAAAGAAAAACAAAATTACAAAATTGAGAATAAAAGTGAAAGTGAAAATTTAATTAAAAGGTATTAATAAAATGCCAGAACGAAATTAAATAAAACAATATATATAAATTGAAATAACTAAGAAACTATTATCAAATAACTATAACAAATGTAATAAAAACGAAACAATCACATTAAAATACACTCAACAATTACAAACAAACATATTGCGTAAATAAAAAATTTTTACTAAAAACTTAAACCAAATCGGACCAAAAAAATTAAACTTAAAAAAAAAAATTCCCTGAATGTAATAATGCTCAGCAAAGGAAATATCAAAAAAAAAATACAACCGGAAATACACTGATTCTGCTCGAAAGCTACGTTAAAGAGATATTTGAACAAACTAACAGCAATGTGCATATCAATAGCAAAACACATGTTTAAATAACAGTAGTACGACAACAAAGCATAACCGCTGTCCACGAATGCAACCCGAACATATACCACATCGATAAATATATGCCTACAGTGAAAATTAAACGAAAAATTCCAAGCGATATAGAAAATGCCACGTAAAAATAATATTGTGTGAGAAAGTAATTTAATATACATTAGACAGAATTAATTTAGCTGAGTGAGAGCGGGTAACACAACCGCGAACGATCGCTGCCGCCAACTTAGTACTATTTCAAAATGGGCGGGAGACGATAAATAAATGAATGCCACTCCAGTTTACGATGCACTTTAAATTTTACGCTATCTCTCCATATCTAACGCAAAAACTTAAAACAAAATTATGATTTTTTTCAGTTTACTCCTTCACTATTTTTAAGATATAACTTTTCTTACCGTTCTATTGCCGCTTTTTGCAAAGAAAGAACGTGTTTATTCGCTTCTAATCCAATTAAAATTGCTTAACTAATAAAAATTAGTAATCGAATATACCAAAAAATTAATGTTCTGATACTAAAGATTTTTTAAATTTAATGAATTTCGAAGAAAATGTTTTCGAATGAAGTAAAACATTTATTTTTTTACTAATATAGTATTGTTTTATGGGTAGAGAGATTGAAAGCGCATACGAGTATAAACGCTGTAAGCAAACGAATATTTAAAAATGCACCAAGTTTAAGTATATAGTAACAACAACAAATTGCACTAAAAAAACCTGTTGTGCATAATATTTTCGCCAATTTTGATGAAATTCAAATTGAATAAAGTTTGTATATAATAATTTGTAGGTTACCTTTTATATATACATATATATTTTCAAAAAATATATATCTATAAAAATTTACTATAAATAAATAATATTCTGTTGAAAATTTTTTTTCTCGCTCATTAATCATGAAATGCAGAAAAGAAAACCATACACGAACAAAATGAATGAGCAGAGAAATTTTGAGTAAATTGAGAATAAATTGTTTTAAGCCGAGGAAAGTGCGGGTAATATTTATACTCTAGGATATATATTCTGTAATATATTATATATATTAAGAAGGAAAAAATTGAGCGAAATATGAAAGCAAAGGGTAGACAAATTTGAACAAACCGCCAACAAGACTTACAATCAAAATGCAAATATGGCTAAAATAAACTTCATTGCAAGAGAACTTCAAGATAAACCATAAGAAACAGTAAACAAATAAGAGTAACTAAAGTTTAATAATAATTCAAGTTCAATTGCATGATTAATTGAATAATTATGAAGTTTCATTAAGTAGCGAGTAACACTTGCTAATACCTTCAGTGACAAAAAACAGCTAGTAACACAACTAAAATAAAGAACGATTCACATTTTTGTCCAAACTTTAAGACTATATATTAGTGAAAAAAACATTGACAAATAAACATTTACAGAAAATTATAATATATTATTTGCATTTTGAGAAATGAAATAAAAAAAATAATTTTGAAAGGACGGCTGACATTTTAAAAGGGTGGTGTAAATTTATTTACTATTACTACTCATTACTAGTAATTAGAGGCTATATTTATATCGTTTTTCTGCATAAAAATCACTTGTGTGAACAACATCAAAAAGATTCATGAGCTATGTACATATTTTTTAATATAAAGAAACTATTTTTAGAAAATAATACTTCATACATATTTTGGATGGTAAATGCTTTTAAGGCACAAAAAAAAAACATTTTGCAAAATATTTTTATTTGAACGCTTTCATGTTCAAAACATGCATAAACTTT